TGGCAGTTATCTACAGGCCGCCGAACTCCTCCGCCGACAGCGATGATATTTCTGTTAAATGCTCTCCAATATGCTATGTCGAAAAAGTACTCACACTACCTAATAGTGGGTGACTTCAATGTACCGTCAATAGCATCAGTGTTCCCAAGTGGGCAATGCTTCAAATCAAAACTCCTTGAGTTCTTGACTATGGCAGTTTTGTATAACCATGTGGATCAACCAATCATACACCGCGGTTCAAACAAGCCTTCAATACTTGATTTAATCCTGACTAATGAGGAGTTAATGGTTGAGTCGGTTTCATACAACACCCCGCTAGGTTGTAGCGATCATTCAGTTCTAACGTTTGATTATGTGTGTTATGCCAGTATGGTTGACAAAGAACCAGAAACCCGACGATTCATCACCAACTATTCCAAGCTTCACACTATAGCGACAACCGTTGACTGGGACCTCCAGATGCACACTTCGGCGAATGATGCCTGGCAAGTGTTGAAAGGCAAGATAAACTGGGTCCTACAATCAGCTTCAAAAGACGTACCATTACGAGTTTCGCGACGGAGCAACAACTGGATCCGGAGTAGAACACGTAAGTGGTTGAATAGGCGAGACGAGGCTTGGAGGGGTCATTTGCTAGGTCCAAATGAAATCACGTGGAATCATTACAAAACAGTCAGAAACTACTGCACTTCACTCCTTAAAGCTGATAAGTACGAATGGCAGGAAACTATGGTACGCAAATTTACTAGCAATCACAAACTGCTTTCCCGGTATGTGAATGACAAAAGGAAGGTTAAGACGGGAATACCACCACTAGAGATGGTCAATGGCCTAACGGTTACTGAAGTGGAGACCGCGGACGCATTGCTCGTGCAGTTTGTCTCAGTTACTAGATACACCATGGAACCATCGCCTTGCTACATCCCAGCAAATGTCGTCGGCTTATCCACGGTCAACTTTAGCCCTACATCTGTGGCAAAGAAATTACAGTCGCTCAGGGAAAATAGTGCGCCGGGAATTGACAAGATCTGTCCGAAAGTACTTAAAACCCTTGCACCCACCAAGGCAGTCCACCTTGCAACCTTTTTCCAGTTTCTATTTGATTCTCATACACTTCCGTCTGAGTGGAAACGTGGACTTATCACTCCGATATACAAGGGAGGTAAGCGGTCAGACCCTGCCAACTACCGACCTATTACTCTCCTTCCTGTTCTATCAAAAGTGATGGAGTCTATAATCGCTGATGAAATGGTGAGATATTTTGAAAGTCTACAAATCATCTCCAACCTCCAACATGGATTCAGACGCGGACGATGTTGCCTCACCAATCTACTACTTGCTCGGGACTCATGGACCAGGGCTGCTGACGAGGGAGTTCCCGTAGATGTGATTTACTTAGACTTTTCTAAGGCATTCGACAGAGTCAATCACCCAGCACTTCTCCGAAAGCTTGCGGCCTATGGTATCCACGGATCCTTGCTCATATGGTTGGAAAGTTACTTATACGACAGAAGAATCGAGGTAAGGATCGCCAACACCCACTCCGATAGCCTATGCGTCACTAGCGGCGTACCGCAAGGATCAGTTCTCGGCCCATTACTCTTTTTAGTCTATATCAACGACCTCCCTGCCAACATTCAATCACCTATGCAAATATTCGCCGACGATGCTAAGAGGTGGCGAGCTATTCAGTCAACATCTGACCCCGTCTATCTGCAGGATGACCTGAACCGGATTCACGAATGGGCAGTAAACAACCAACTACCCCTTAACCCCGGAAAGTGTCACCTGTTGTCGCTGCGCAGTAACTGCAGCAACACATATCACCTGGGGCAGCGCGTTATAAAACAGGTGAGAAACGAAAGAGACTTAGGGGTCATCGTGCAAGAAGGTCTGGGTAATTCGCTCCAATGTTCAAAGGCAACTAACATAGCGAACTTAAACTTGAGGCTTTTGAGGCGAGCGCTCGGTACCTTCGAGCGGCAACTCGTGCCATTATTGATTAACGCCTACATTCGTCCCCACCTCGAGTATGCGGTACAGGCATGGCGTCCGTGGTTAAAACGGGACATTCGTCTCCTGGAGCAACCACAAAGAAGAGCCACTAAGACAACAAGTGGTCTATCGGGCCTTAGTTATGAACTGCGCCTTCGTTCGATCGGTCTGTACTCCTTAGAATACCGACGACTTCGCGGTGATCTGATCCTCACTTACCGGATACTAAGAGAAGAGGACCATCCATGTAACTCGCTGTTAACATTATCTGCCGACAAACGATGCAGAAGCCATGCACTAAAACTTGTGACTCAATATTCCCGTTTGGATTGTAGAAAGTATTTTTTACTCTCTTAGTGTCTGTCCGCACTGGAACGCACTGCCATCGCATGTGGTGAACGCACCAAACATCGAGACATTCGAAAGACTATTGGACTTGCACTTACATGATACACATTATATAACGGTATGACAAACTGCAGTGTCTAACTTACTGATACTTTTGTGTCACACCTGAAACTTTTGTTTTCTTCCATTTGCCATCCTGTGGGTCTTGTAAAGTTATTGCTTTTTATCCCACCATACACTATTGAACTATTGAGCTATTGGACGGGTTGAATGTAAGTTGCCTTCTTGCTCGCTAGCCTATCTGGCCACACGTGATGCATAGTGTAATCGTACCACTGCGAGCAATCTGGAGAATCGATAGGTGTGCGATTTACCTTAGGATGTGCGTGTGATTGTTAACGCAGTGTGTGGTAATCGGAAACAATGCAATAATTCGTATGAAGGAGGTAAAGCTAGAACTTGGCAAATAGAATTTTTAAAAAGCTTTACAGCTACAAATTTCTCGTGCTGTTTTTTTCAGTTGGCCGTACACTCATGTGAATAGCGTAGATAGGTATTGCATATGTAGTCGGCGCATTGTATACTAAAATCAAGTTCGCTGCGTATGTAAGATCATCATTGCATCTGTAGCCATTGTTCCAGAGAGGAGGGTTCCTAGTGTGGCGGTGACACGACATTAGTGAGTGTTCGTTCGTCGCCACACCTGTGGGCCACTTCGGTAATCAGTTACCGCTACAGGACCCATGGTCCTGCCATTTTGTTAAGGTCGTAAGATGCATGTCGATCCTGCGTTTCAACATGATATTTACCCTTCACTTCCAAGTGATTGATAAGCTTTAAAACTCAAGTGACCCTTCGGCCCTGATATGAGGTGCCAACGAGCATTGCATACGCATAGTAAGCATAGAGTTTGGAGAAATTTTCCTCCTTCAACAATGTCTCCGGAATTACCTACTTTCCAATGACAAAATCTTTCCCAGTAGTTGCTAAGTCGCTAACAACCTGTGTCACGACGTGCATACATGAATGCTCCTAAAACTAGCTGAAACAGTGATCCATAGCGGGCTTAGTGGGCGCGGTTGCCTTTGTAAATGATTGCAAACACATTGTAGGAACGCCCGTGGGTGAGACAACAGTGTTTATCTGTTCCAAGTACTCACCTGAAGTACCAGAGTAACATGCTTGCGTCGCCACTAATCATAAGTCTTGCGTTCTTTCTAGCAGGACGATGTGGCATGTATAAACACCGTGGTCATTGTGGCCCCTTTAAGTGTTACTTTGTTGAGTAATGCCGATTCTTTGAGGAGAGCATGCCAGTCCATTGACGTAATAGGGAGGTTCCATCTGCATTGACTGTGCTTCTAATGGTTCCATTTGGAGAGCCACTTGTTAAAGCGTCTCAACACGTATGGGCGATCATATGGAAGTGAAGCCTAATTATCCTAAGAATTTATAGGTTCCTATGACCTTTATATAACGCGATACATGTAGGCACTGATGTGATAACTGACTAACAGTCTCCCATGGGTTAGGAGACAAACGAACACTCACTGACATCGTGTCAACGCACCACTTGGAATCCTATTATTTTTTGTTGAGTCATCAACTGTGATCGAATTAAGCAACCTTAGAATTTTCCTTGTTCAGCTTCAGGTTGGTCTACTAACTTCTGTGGGAACTATGTCCCCCAGGATGGTTGCAATGACATTCGCACACAATTGTCTAACCGCCTAGCAGCCATTGCTGCACTGTGGAATAACAGTTAGATGGTTGCCTGTCTACGCCACCATGGTTAGGTCGCTGAATAAGCCACCATTAGGTAGCCGCCAGTGATCGCCATAGACCGCTTCATGTGCTGGTTAGTATGTCTATCCACACTGGTTAAGTCTTGAGCTTTGGATAGTGTGATAGCTAGCATCTCCTCCTTTGACAAGCATCACAATTTACCCATTGGTCGGTTTCAGGTTGGAGACCAATCATCGAGGTTTACTCCAGAGGGGCATCAAGGCAGAACAGAAGGTGGTGCTCGACCACTTTCATTGGACTGTCTGTCTCTTATGCTGGCAGCTTCTAACCGGTGTTCCATTGGTTTACGTCCCATAACCAATGAGAGTGTCAAGAAGGCCAAATCAGCGTTCTCAGCCTCGCTAACTTGAAACTACCGCACGCTATTTCGAAAATGAACCACGCTAAAAGCATGGTACAATACGCTAATATGCGTGTTAAATTGTGTAGATAGGTGGACTGAGTCCTCACTGAGACCAAGCAGACTGCCAATTGGAAACAAAACGGGTCCGCTCATTGATTGGTCGCATTAGACGAAGTCACCTTATGCGTCGCTGCAGATTGGTTGACAGGCCTGGCTACACTCCAATCGATCTTCTGGCTGCTTTATTTGACTTAATCAACGTCAAGCAAAACGTTATTTTTACGCGCGGTACCGGCATCGTAGTTATGAATGCAGTCCAATAACAAATGTGCATTAAGTGTGACTGTAATGTTCACCCGTCACTAGGGGTTAAACATTGTTGAGTAAATTGTATATTCCTGAAGGACCGGCATTCGTTACATATATCAACCTATGTAAGGGAAGTTCAGCCTGGGTTTGAGAACTCGTTTCTTTTGTTTGGCAAGTAAGCTTATCAAAAGTAACTTACCTGTGGCACAAGTTAGAGTTAATTTACCATTGAGAATATTTGAACGGGACAGTTCGCATTCCTGACTGCACAGAGCACCCGTTTGTGAGAAGTAGATTCGTCTAGAGTGAATGAAAATAGGAAGCGATTGGCAAAGCATTGCATTTGCATATAAATATCTTCGAACAATGCCCTACAGACGCTTTCACATCTGTGGCGACTGATAGGTGCCATCCCCGGCTATTTCAAAGCATTCAGCCCCCCCCCATTCATCAAGTCGCCCCAGCTGTTCACTTTCACTAGATATCAAGAGCAATTGGTACGGCCCTACAATGCGAACTCAAATGAGCCACTGAGCTGCATCCGCATACCGAACACCTCTTGCCAATCCGACGACAACCGTACGTTATGGCCGTCCGTTCGCTTCGAAACAGCTAACTTCGATTTCTCACCCGCCCGTGTGCTGTGGCGGGTCTATACGGCATATGCGAGACAGCTAGTGAGTTATGCTATCTCGGACCATTATTTGAACTTTGACAGGAGATTGCAACATTGAAATTTCTCGTCTTTCGTGGGTGTACCCCTCATAGGTTAGTACACGTCCTCAGGATCACTGGGTAGTCGTTCCAGTTTGTTAGAACCCATCAGCAGTGCATATAACGCCACCCACCGAAATTACAAGACCTGAATTCATAACCGTCCAGTCTGTAAGACGGTGGTTTAACTCATATGTAACGAGGAGACCGATCTGCTCAAGATACCGTCTAGGACAACACAAGCGCTCCACCTCAAATTCCACACCCGTCACTGCCGAGCGCAGAACAGACTTGTCCCCAAACGCAGTATACCGAGATGATTATACATATATATATATATATATATATATATATATATGTATAGTTTTGTGACACGATTATTGTGTCGTCGAAATCATGGCGTAAAAGTAGAACAAAACTGGAATAAGAAACAAAATTTGGCAACTATTTCTGGCCAGTTTCCTCCTCCGCTGTTTCTACGTTTTTTGATAGTTTTGCTTTTTAGGGAAGGAAAAGAGAATCACAGCAGCATGCAGAGTTGCGCGTCCGCCACTGAAGTCAGCCTTGAGCCATGACTTCCAAGGAGTCCATCCAGAGACATAGTATTTCTGGGAAGCCAACCAGGGCTTCGAGAACAGCCGACCGAGGTCAAGTGTTTCGTTAGTTTTTTCATGTCGGTTCACTAAATTACAGGTTATTCCTTGCGTCGCATCATCCATACCTTCCCAGCAATCGCCAAAAACGCACCACGCCGAAGACGCTGGGTGGGCATGCCTAATAGGTTTCCAATTTATTGCAGTTGGTTTGTTGGGACGTGCTGTTCGATTCGGTCGGTGCCTCTACCCAAGACAAGCTGTCCAACTTCCAGCTTGGTTACATGGTGCAGCCACCATAACCTCCAGTGTTTCACCACCAGGAGTGAAGGCTTGTACAGGCCTCTTCCAATCTTGAACAAGTGTTTTGCACTTGGATGGTGGAATGGTTATGCCAACATCCACGTTTCAACTGCCAGGTGGTTAAGCGCAAATTGGTATTAACAACAACTCGACCACCCGACAGGAGCTCAAAGCCAACGCTGACAAAATCTTCCAGAGCACTTCTAAGGACATCCTCAATGGTAATGTTGAAGAGGAATGGAGAGATAGGACATCTTTCGAACCACAATGGTGACTACAAGGGAAGGCGAAAGCTTACCATAAGTCCTAACTCTACCCGAGATCAGAGATTACATAGCATGCAGTACGGAAACGAACTTCCCATGGACGCTATTCCTCAACAGACAGTGCCCCAATCCAGTCCTGTCAACAGAATCGAAGAACATAACTATCGTTTGCTTTTGGCTTACAGGGCTGGTTGAATATTGTAGTTTGGGCGTTGTCCGACCCCAACCCCGCACTCCCCGATAGGTTTTTGCACTTATTTGCATTCGTTAGGAGTACGACTCGGAATGGGGACGTGGGGATGTTAGACGAAACCTACACCCCTAAGCCGTCAAGTCACTGCGGGCAACATTTGCTACAACTGTAGCTGTCACCTTTTTGATGGGTGTGATGTTGGCTGAAACCGATGCTGAGTGAAAACGCTATAATACCGGTAGGCAGATAGTCAATCGAACGCCACGCTGCATTTCGCGAGGTGTCCAACTGATGTACTTTAACCCGGAGGAAAGTGGGCATGTCATGGAACGATTGGTTGGCTGAGTAGCGAGTTGTCTGCGCACGCCCAGGTCGAGATCTACTATCCAACTGAACAAACATCCCATGAGTGTGCTGGTGACCAATCAGGCGCCAGCAGGTCACAGATGCACAGCATCAACTCAGTCATGCGAAAGCGCGTGTGCACGTGAGAAGTGGTGATCAGATTGGTTTGCCAGCCCACGAATAGACTGCACGCACCTGAGTCAAGCTTTGCTGGGGCTGGCTTGCCGAACAACCTCCTCGTGGTGCCAGCTGGGTGGTTCGGGATTTTCCCGTTCCAGCAAATGATTCGGCGGCAGTGTTCCAGGACGTGGTGGGTTTTCGCCTACCAAGCGTTCTCTCTATAAAAAGCCACATATGTCCGTTTAACAACACTGTGACGAGGCGGACGTGACTCGCCACTAAATAAAGTCACTGCACCTTGCTTCATCCTGGCGAAGCATTGTATTCCAGCAACGTTATGCTGTAGTTCTAAGGAGCATTGGGCCTCTGGTTGACGAAGGAACAAACTAAAGGCGTATGAACTGAGCAATCAGTCACCGGCTCCCAATGGGCGCGATTCTCTGAATTCGCTCCGCTGCCTTGCGGACAGGCTATTCAGCCAAAGGCTCGGGGTGGTATCCCCTAAGTCAACACTTTACTTCGGCTTGGGCAACCGGATAGTAACCCGCCTTCTGAAGAAACCATGGACTTTGATGTGTTGGGTTGGGTTTTCTTTTACTATCTCTGTACCTTGTTTTGAGTTCCATGGTTTCCGATGGCTCGATGTCTATTCATAGACTGTTGCAATATATATATATATATATATATATATATATATATATATATCTTGCCGAGGGAAGTGGCTTGTGACTAGATGGGCGTGTGACCAACGGTGTCAATCGTACAATTGGCCCAGTAAGTCAGCAACGAAACTGGAGGTAATTTTAGACAGGATGAATGTTGCGAACAAGCTTTAACCAATGGAAATGTAGCCAGTAACATGCTGCAAATAACAAGGGGGCTTCAGTGGGGCAAACTCTCGCAAATAGTGTATATACTCTATAAGTATCCATGCGTGATCTTAATATACGACTACTTACTCGCGGCCCAGTCTACTTGATGTGCGGTGGGCTACTTGACAGATGGTTCATATTAAAGTACTCGTTGTGTAAATAGCTCGCGACGCACAAACTCAATCTGGGCCAACATTCACGCTGAAAGGCGCATGAGTTGCGTTCAGTCACTGTGACCGTATCCGAAGCGGATAAAGATTAGTTTCACTTTGGCTGAGTAATGGTCTGTCTCTTAACCCAGAACAGGAGCGCTCTTTCCTGAGATCCTACAAAGAACTACAGATGAAAAGAGCACAAAGTTTTATGATATAAAATTCGCAAATGGCTTCTGTCTGATTTCAAGGATTTGCAGCAGGATCGACCGATATTCCTTGGTCGTTAGCCGGTCCGATCTCGTATCCTAAGCATTCGGTTCTGGTTGCAGATGCCTGTCTTCCTTAGGAAACCAAATCCTTGCTGATAGCATCAATCCCTGTCGGGATATTGTGATCCAAGATCAATGCTTAATTCGGGTGGTCAGGAGTTGCAGTATGTCTAGCAAGACTGATAGTGCGACTGGGCTATGACGTTTCCGATTACATGTACAGCTTTTAAGCTAGTACTAAACTATTTTAATGTCGTTCATCTGCATCTCATAATGAACCTAGGGCATCGGTGTATCGTAGAAAACAAGCATCTGGAGTGCCGGCTTATCCATTTGTCCAACGATTGCGACACGAATTGTCAATTTGCACCATCTACTACATAGAAGTGAACCTGCGCGAGTTTGTGTACTGGGACCGCACCTGAAGCGTATATGTGGCATAGATCGCTCAAAACAGCACATCCAGAACCAATGACGTGTTTCTTAACGCTCTGCGGGTAGAGACCCTATTTGGAATTCGGAAAAGGGACTCGAAATATTTAGGCGGGCTTCCTAAACATTAAACCATAGAGTGCTGCAGACGACGCTGGTCTCAAGCGTTGAGATATTCGTCAGGTGAATGGATTACTCTGAACGAGGCGTCCACCTATGGCTGAATCTGGTCTTGGAATATATTGTTAGCAGTTAACAGATGTCTTACTAGCATGTAACTGCCGGTTGATATCAAGTAACAGCGCCCAAACCCATGGGGAAAGGGGACTCGAATCGGGGAGAGGTTACACGCCAAAATTCCTGCTGGCATTCTAAGTCTACCAGACATTTGCCGGTATTTCATCAAGAAAGCGTCATTTCATTACAGTGGGGGCAAAATATCGGCGTCCAAATTAAAGTGACAAACCCAAGGAACTCACCTTTCGTAATTCGACTGCACTGGCAAGGGCAAGGGTTGCCCAGATGCGCTGTATGGAATCCCGCTGAATGACTCGTTGCACGGAAGAATGAGGTGCGCATACGCCTCCTTCGCTCGTTCGACCGATGGACCAATCAGCTCGTAAGCCGGCCAGTTAAGAATCTGCAACCAGGTACGGGCAGAGTATCAGCCTTCTAAGACATGGTGGAATTCTTCATCGTGATGACCTTTAGTATAATCCATTGCTTATACTCATGTGAAAATTGAACGAAAGATTAGCGTCCAGCAGTGTACAACATTTTCTTATGAACGGTACTATTGTTTCTGGAATTATTAGTAAACCTTGCAAGATTTATGTTGGTGGACAAGAGCTATATAGGGTCCATTCCCTGCAACCATCTAGTAATATTTTACAGTAGAAGCGAGCAGTCCCTTTAGACATACTCTAAATCGTTGTCGTCCTATATTTGGATTGTGTGTGTGTGTGTGCGTTTAACAAAGACACAGACAATAGGGTGGCACACCGTACCGATACTTAGTTGCCATTTGACCAACAGCGCCCGCTTGTAGACTGGGTATTCCGCAAGGTCACCTGCACCTACGCGGATTCGAATCGGTGACCTACGTCGTACGAGGCAAGCGTGCTATCTTTTCGGCCACCTGCCGTGTTAGAACTGTGGTCAAACCAGGAACAACTCATACTTTCTCCGGTTCTGATTCTCCGCCCAATTCGCAAATGCGTGTGCCAGAAATTTCCCACTCTTGTGTGGTTGATCATTTTCTACGGTCACGAGGCGCTATCCATTAACGACCACCATCTGTATCGTCGGTTAGGGGGAAGAAAAAACAGAGGTGAGCTTGCGTCATCTTCATTCAAACGTGTTTCATGTACCTGAGATCAATTTTCTTCCCGATGCCATCGACCGAGACCAAACCTGGACGGACTCTTGCCGAACGAATATCTGGACAATTGACGGATTGCATCTCGCCGCTTCCTGGTTTCCTAACAGTCGCATCTCCTCCACCAGGAAAAGAGGCTGAAACACATCCCTCGTATTGAGAGATGGACGATAAGCTAATGCAACACATCCACTGCCAGCAAATGAAGGAATTCAATGTCGATGTGTGACCCGACGCACCGTAAACAACTCTGCGTATGAAATCACCAGAGACATGGCCGTTGGCAGTGAAGACTTTAAGACACCGATCGTTTACTCCAAGGTACACTTAAATATCGATCCGCCAGTACTTTCAAGCACTCGCCGCCACCTCAAGCCATCCTCACACAGACCACTTTACCACTGAGACATAGCAACATCTTCACTGCCGCGAATGTACTGCAGCCACTGCTGTCACTAGGCCAGTGCAATTCCCTGGTCCTTATGACATATGACCCAAGTAATTGTAGGTAGCTGCCATGACTTAGCTGAACCGTTATCTCAGTTGTGCATCTTGTCTCGGCAAAATGAAGGCTCCAAATATGTGGAAGTGTGGAATAATCACACCCATTTCCAAGCGAGGCACTCGTGCAGCACCCGCAAACTGTCACCCAATTACTCTGCTTCATGTGTTTGTGAAAGTTGTGGATTCTGTCGTCGCAGAAGCACACATTTGATATTTAGAAAGGTGTAATATCCACGTACAGAATCAGCATAGATCCCGCCAAAACCGCGCATGTTACACCAACATTTTGTTAGCCCGTAGTAACCGGGCGAAATCCATTGCTGCTGTGGACGGAGTTCTCGTCACCTACATTGGTTTTTCGTCGTCTTTTGTATCTACCACTGATTTCCGAGCAGACACCGCTTCCCATCGGATTGACGAACAGCGGCGTCAAATGCAGCAGCTGTTCGCCGGTACGGTGTGCCGGCGTAGTAGTGACGAACTTTAGAGATGTTTATTGTGTTATTTGCCGATTCCATAAGCTCAGTTTTACATTTGTTTGCCAAGTTTGACATGTTGGTTTGTAAACTTTTCTTCACCCTGCGATGTGGCATCATCAGTGCAGTGATAGGCGGGGTGCAGTCTTGCAAGGGACGCCCGGCCATTGTACTTACTGGAGGAGACTTTAAATGATGTGGATGTTCACTGCTAAAGCGATACCGAAATCGCCGGTGAAATGTCGATTGTTAGTTCACCGATCTAGCTGACGCTGAGAATTCCTACTGCAGTGCTGTAATGACTACTAAGTCTTTATAAGTAGTAGGAGATTACTTTACAGGAGCTGAATTGACTGCTGAACTTATCGTTTCCTCTTGGTCTTTAGTATACGTTTATTTACTGACAACGAACTGTATAGCACAGATATTCTGACGCTTGGTTTCAAATGCGCTAGACATTACGTGTTGAACGAACCCGGACTGTCGAGCTAAATTTGTTGTTGTTTCTATACCTAATGGTTTTTAACTGGTAACTTTCCACTTGGCTTTATAATCACTAATATAGAAACACAGGTGCTCTTGTCTCAACGCCAATGATTCACGCCCCCACGCCCCACCAGCGCAAGGAGAACGCGAAAACAAGCCAGGACCGAATTGTACACATGCGAACACTGCTTGTTTTTGTGGGATACAATAAGAGCTGAAGTAAAGCTTGCACTCAAGTTGGTTACTCAATGCTACGCAATTCTCAGGTTGCTAACAAAGTTATCGTTATGTTTCGCTACTTATTACGTTTAAAGTAGTAGGGTTTGTTTTTGTGATATTTACGCTTCCGTGGTCCGACAGACAGCATTCGCGCGGCGTTGTTAAGTGGACTCGGAACATCTGATTGAGCGGACACACTAGAAAAAGAGGCAATGCAAAGTTATGGGCCGTAATTTGCAGTAGCGTGCTAAAAAGAAACAGATCTTTGGGTTGTACAACCCATTTGAACAACTTGAAAGCTACATTGTGAATGGTCGTGTTGTATTTAATGAATTTTTTACCTTGACCCACGTGTTTTCACTCCTTTCGATTGTGGCTCGGGTACCGCAAGTGCGAAACACCTTGCGATTAGGGTCGAGAGGCAAGGCACCATCCGCTACACGAATCGAATTGCGTAATATGATGATAGGTTGAAACACTATATTGCGTGTGATCTCGAACGAACCCACAATGAGGATGAGGTTGAGGCGACCAGTTTTTGGGGGGTACTCGATGGGTTTATACAATCCTTCAGCTTGATAATGCGGGATATTCATTTCCATTATGGAACCTTCGCGGGAGATTTGCAACTGCGAAAGAAAAAGTAGACGATTGCTGTCGCAAATGTCGGAAAGCACACACTCACCAACTTGGTCTTCAGTTAATGCTAATGACAAATGGTGTGTTCAGCGATGGCAAGGAGGTTGCACACTACACTCGTTCGGACACCAGCTTCATCTAAGTTCATGAACTCACACCAGCTTGAGCTGTTTCTGAATCACATATTGGTTATCTACATCTCTAACTAGTGCTTCGTATTTCCTGGCAAACTTACTCGTACAACGATGGTGCAGTCTGATACCCTACTGATTATGTTCCTCGCGTGGCCACCGGCTGCCTACCCAGTGGTTCAGCACACCGAAGAGAAGATGCGAGAGCTATGGTCTGGTCTTTGAATAACAATGGTCAATGCGGAGTTCTGTGTACGTAACACGCCCGACATTGCACTCCAGGGCGCGTTCTGTACTGATCTGGACTCACCCGGTAGAAATAGCCTGAGCTAGGAGGGGAGCTCGACGCAGTGGTTGACGGTTAATGCCTCAATCATTAGACCATTGTACCCATTGACAATGCTTTACACAGCGATCAGAAATCGACTGTTACGTGTTGGCGTGCCCCCGTGCGTTTGGATAGTGACAAGCGGTCACAGCTATGGCCATGGATTAATTTGAAGTAACCTGCCATTTTCCTCACTCAAGCAGCCCCCGAAGTAGGGGTTTTGGCGCTACCCTCTCTCAACACGGTACTCTACAAGCGACCGATTTCGTCCTCGTCTGAACTTTGCGGACAGAGATCAAGCACATGCTCTGCTAATGGTTACGCCATGTGTTCAATCGAGGAAAGTGACATGCCTGTCACTACGTGCAGCTGCACCGATTAACTTGCCCACCCTATCAGGGATCAGAATACAGGCTTCCCTGATTGTTCTTCGATTCTATTCCTGGATTACTCGTGACTACATTCCTTTCCTTCCTGACAGTTTCATCTCAACGAGTGTCTTCACCATGGAATGCACTAAGTCCCAACCCCCAACCTATCTGCACTGTCTAGCATGTGTTTCAACAGTCACGTCCGTTTTTAATCCGTTGCTCGGTGACCAAGGTGCAGGCCTTTGGGTGAGACGAGTGCGCAGTAAATTACCAACGGTCCAATGGTAGATGTTGGTTTCTCTAATTTTCCCTCACCCGGTCACAGGAGTGTGAACGACTACACTGATGACGGAATGCCAGGCCAGCGGGCCTGCATCCTCTGTACTTGTGTGCTGACGTCTACCATTGGACAGTCGGCAAGTTATTGCGCTCTCGTGTCACCCAAATGTCTATGCTTTGTTCACTGAGCAACGGACTAAACACAGGCGTGACGTTTGAAACACATGGTAGTACGCATGTTTCCTCAAATATCTCATGCGCGCTGCGCACGTTTGAAGACAATCGGTCAGTTTGCACCCAGACGACGTTAGTTCTCTGTGTGCACGTTGAATTCAGCGCGCTTGTGTGGTGAAGCGCAAGCCGACCATGGCCCCTTTGTAGGCACAGGCATCCGGTGGCTATTCGCAGTCAAATGATAGGTGAAGCCGGTATCGCAGTCTGGCAAATGTATTGAGATGCACGGACAAATATTGCATGCGATTAGCTGCATCTGCTTCAGATGTAACCACATGCTAATCCTACATCGAAGGTCTTTGGGCAGAAATTTAGTGGATCTGGTTAGCTAGCCGAACAACCTCATTGTGGTGCCAGTTGGGTGGTTCGGGTGTAACCCGTTCCAGCAAATAGTTGGGCTGCAGTGTTCCGGAACGTGGCGGGTTTTCGCTTAGCAAGCTCCCACTCTATAAAAAGCTACGAATCTCCGTGTATCAACACTGTGACGTTGCGAATGTGACTCGCCAAAACCAAATTCACTGCTCCGTGGATGCCTGGACATCAATCATCTATTCTTACAAAGCCGACGTAGACAAACAGTCACGAACACAATGGCACACTAACAAACACAAGCTACAAAGCTAGAATTATGCACAGTTACACATACATTCATGCACAACTTCCCTGCTATGGCAAACATGTTGTATTTTTGTCCATACTTTGTTATCATAATATGAGTATGCCGGTAAATGCGTGCCCCGTGTTGCTGAAAATAAAAAGTTTATTCAGCAAGTTAATCATCAATTGATTGAAGAGGATGAATTGCGCTGCATATATTCTGAGTACGTCCGGTAAATTCTCTGTAGTTGAAGAAGCGTCGCCTCGAATATACTGGGAGCAATAACGACAAACGGCTAAAAACACCTTGTCCGACGGCACAATAAAGTAATCCAACGCAGCAAGCTACCCGCAGAAATCTTACAACGAGCATAGTGGTATACATGCATAATTCAGATGGTGCATCTAAGTGGGGAATGGTTATTGGCCTGGTGCACATACATCAGGAAAATAGGGCATCTTAACTCAAATCTATACTTTTTTTTGATCAAGTTGCCCCTTGGGAGAGACAAGTAGGCTGAACGACAATGGAGTTGCTCTGAGAGGCAAGCAAGTTGAGTCGGTACTCAACTACTTGGAGCCTTGCTTGTGACGCTCACTTACGCTGGTGTCTAAGTGCGTGTATTGACCAACGCCTTCAGCCAATATGGCCGCAGACGCACTAAGTGTCCGCACCGTAAGTCATATGGGTGCAAATGGGACGCCTCAGCTCCTACGTGGTACAGTGTCGGTGGCTGAGGCACCATGTGAGCCAGTGTTTCTCTGTCCAATGAAGCGATTCCCAACAATTAAGACGAGAGTATGGGTTTGCACGATGGTTGTGTTAGAGTAATTAGCCACAGCCAACTAACTTCGCCATGTTTTTGAACGAGCATTCACGTTAACACAATGTTTAGATCGTGTGCGGACCACTCGATAGAGGTGAAGAATGTAATACTAAGGGCGTACGAGGAAGGAGACGATTAGAAGCAGGTGATTTGCACACTGCAGGTGAACGCGAACATTTCCCGTAACTGGATACCGGTGTACGCATTCACGGAACCGATGGGGCAGCACGCGGTTGTCCGTCGTAGAGCACTGGGAGGAAGCCAAATCCACTCTCTGGTGGAGTGGGATTCGGCAGAGCCTACCGCTACCCTTGAACTACTTCCTTTGCGGTTTAAGGCGGAACTCCAAATTGCAGTATGAGTTAGCGCCGTCTCATGGAAGGTGGATAGTAGACCGACAACAATGAAGAAGCTCCACACCATTTCGGAGTCCATGAACACGCTAGAGCACCCAAAGAGACGCAGGTCGTACGTTTTGCAGTTCAAGGATTACAAGGTGGAAGGAAGCCGGTGTAGATTGATGAGACAAACTTCAACTTATCCTGCGCCCTCACTCGTGGCCGCTCAAAACATACTAGTCGAGAGCAGTGTGCAGTGCTGAACATCCCGGGACCGAATGTTCATCTTATCGGTGTCATGACAAACAACGGCCTGATATCGTGTTCGGTTTTGACAGGAAGTTCCAAAATACAATGGTGCGCTCGGTGGCTAAGACAACTGTTCGCTGCCAACGGAGCAGGATTTATGGAAACTTGCCGTTGGATTCGCGACAACGCAACCCGTCACACGCACTTGGAACGGGTTTTACTGGAGAAACCGTAACATTGGGAGACTTCTACATCTTCTTGCGTCATACTCTCCAACACTCAAACCCATCGAGGGCATTTGGAGCATAATATAGACTCATGTAAAACAGGCGATGAAGAAACATTACTCCGAAGTGCTCCTGGGGGACGCTAAAAACCTTATGACTAAAAGCGACTAGTGGGTTCAGTTTTTCCGAACAAGCGGTGTAGGACGGACGGGCCTAAATGACGCAGCATCACTGCGTACAAATCTTTCGGCATCGCGGAAAGAATTATGGACGTGTTATTCATTTGCCGATCTGTAAAACACTCCGCTGGTAGTAAACTACCAGTTTTAAACGAGTGTTGTGCATACTTGATTATGATGTCGGGTCAGAGTACACTTTGTACGCTGCTAGAAATAGCCAGTTCTCCATTCGGGGGAACATGGTGAATTTCCGGGAAGGTGGTGCACGTGGTCGCGTCGCATACCCGTTTTAGTTGGCGCGTTGTAGAACAACCATGCGATTGCTTGATGAATGGATGAACCCCTAACATGGTTGTGGGGTAAGCAATTATGAATTACCGCCTGTCGTTGTTTGTGTTTCGAGACCCAGTGGATAAGAACTTTGATAAGGCCATGATAAAGAAGTAACTTGAACTGTACATACTTGACCGACATGAGGAGAGTGTGTGGCCGTTTGTTGGATTGCTTACCCCGTTACACCAAGGTAGAGGACTGGACACCGCTTGTTTTCGTGCGAGGATGATCAGTGCGGAAATGCAGAGCAAGTAGCGAAAGCACACGTAAAGTTTGCCGCGATTTCCTGTGAAATGTTTCCTGCTGGATATTTGTCGCTTGCGGAGTCTATTCAAACACACCACAGGGTTGCGGTGAGTGGATAAATTGAACTGTACATACTTGACCGACATGAGGAGAGTGTGTGGCCGTTTGTTGGATTGCTTACCCCGTTACACCAAGGTAGAGGACTGGACACCGCTTGTTCTCGTGCGAGGATGATCAGTGCGGAAGTGCAGAGCAAGTAGCGAAAGCACACGTAAAGTTTGCCGCGATTTCCTGTGAAATGTTTCCGGCTGGATATTTGTCGCTTGCGGAGTCTATTCAAACACACCACAGGGTTGCGGTGAGTGGATGTTTTAAAGCCGCATATGAAACATACTCGATTCGGCGAATCAGCTTTAATCGTCAGGTAGTAACGCCTGAAAAGCGCTGAATGATTCCACATGACGCAAAACGGTCCGTAGGTTAGAAGTCTATTCAAATATCACCGATATACAAGCAGATGGAATTTGATATTCCCCTCACTCCAAATTTTTCGTGAATAAATATTGCGGTTATAATCGATTGTCTACAACGACAACATCTCGTGCATGTTTCTGTCATCCATCCACCCACCTCAAACTCTTTCGTCCATCG